CAGAAGTAGAGAGAGAGAGAGAGAGAGAGAGAGAGAGAGAGAGACATTTTTGTTTTCTCAGATCTCAATAAGTCTTGTTCTATAGGTCCCAGAGCAAAGAGGTTTTCCAAAGCTGTGAGCTGTGATAAAGCCTGAATAGTCTCAGCAGTCCTCAGGCATTTGTATTTCTTGGTTGACTGATGCTAGTTGCTCTCTTTCATTCTCTATGCTGCTAGAGTCTGATGCTGGGTGGAAAACCTGAGTGCTGACAAAACACTAAAAGGTACCAGAGCTGCCTGTGTGTGTATAGGAACCCATTAGGGGGCACCCTGTTATTCAGGAACTGGCTTAAAGTGACATTAAACCCTCAGGTTTTTTAACATAAACCAATACTGTAATGTGTGCCTTACTGTAATCAATGGCTGTTTCCCTTATCTTTGCTGCTCTTCCCTTTAAATCCTCATGTCTTCTCATGCTTGGGGAGAACTTCCCTTTTCAGCTCAGGGCCTCTTCCTGTAGTGCTGGCTCAGGTTTCAAGCCTATACAAACGTATACACAGACACCGTGTATCCATTCCTGAGACAAGGCAGTCTGCTGCAAAACAGAAGTTCTGCAGAGCATGAGAACAGATACAGATTTAAAAGGAAGAGCAGCAAAGAGAAGGGAAACAACAATGGATTACAGTAAGGCACACATTACAGTATTGTTTTATGTTAAAAAATCTGAGGGTTTAATGTCACTTTAAGTTTAGTTAATGGCTCAGGCGTTTTGTTTTGATGCTATCTCTGTTTTATGATATGGACTTAGTGTTTACTGCCGTGCTGAATAAAAGTGCAGGACAAACCTGTTTGGACTGTTCCCGAGTGTTCCTGCCTCATGCATAGTTACTGATGCCAACCTGTCCCCTTTACAATGTATATGACAACTATTCATTTCGCTGTCAAATCTGTGGCCAAATTACCAACTTGTTGTTTTGAGCAACCTTAACAATGCTGTTTGCTTATTTTAAAGTTTTAGTTATTTTAATATATGATTCTTAACTTGCTTTATTATTCTTTATTGCAGGTTCCAATTTTTATACCAGCATTATTTTCCTTTACCTGCCTATTTATGGTTACTTTGTCACTGTATTCTGACCCTATAAACACTGGGATTGGGTTTGCAATTACTCTGACAGGAGTTCCTGCATACTACCTATTTGTTATCTGGGATAACAAGCCAAAATGGTTCCAAAAAATATCAGGTATGGTACATTATACATTTTGCATTATAATACAATTTCAGGAGGATTAATATAACCCTGTGCCCAGACGGTGTACATTAAGGTTTTTACATATTTTGAGCAAACATAAAAAAGCACTTTAAGGCGAGCTTTTATTCACCTTTGTAGCTATAGGCATTGTGGAAAAAATGTATCTGCAAAATTTACAGCAGGGGCACTGACATCACAACTCGTTTCACTTTTAAGCCTCATGGTTTGAAATACATGCTTTCAGTTGTGTTTGGAAGTAATTTCTAAATGCACCTGGAAGCATGCAATGCTTATAAACGACTGAATGCACAGCTAGATGTTTAGCAGTGGTTAGGTTCATTCAGTCTAGCTGTGTTCACACAAACTGTCTGCTATAATTTTATAAAACTGCCAAAAATGTAAATATTCCTGCAAATGTAGGAATCAGGTGGTGTTTTCCAATCATATATTATATACAATAGAATGGCACCACTGCAATCCATCCTGGACTCTGCTTCTGAGTTCAGCTCAGCCTCTATTCTCACTCCTCAAGTGCTACTTCTCTCTGTCAGTCTTTCCACTACCTCTATAGAACACAGTTCTCCATCCAGGCTAATTCATAAATCTACTCACTAATATATGGATACTTCCCCAAGAACAACCTGACCTTCTCTACTCTGGTCATCTCCTTATGTTTTTACTTTGAAGACTCCTTCTGTGCCTCTACCCTTAATTGGGATGCTCACCTCTTATCACTTAACATTCTCAAACCTTTTAAACCTGTAAAACATCTATATAATTCACTCTTCAGACGAGAAAATAATATGGTCCAAAATATTCTCCTTGATCACTGATCCATCTTATTCCTTACTTCTACCATTATTTTTGCTGCTTTTTTTGCTGTATATTAGGTAGGTAACTTGTGATAACATGACTTTTCATGTGTATGGCATCTTATTTTTTACCATTTGGCGTGCAATTTCTGCGTATTTGTTTCCATTTTCTAAATGTATCTTTATTAAATACCATTGATTGTAATTTGCACAGCATCAAAGATATCATGGTGCTAAAAAGTAATTATTAAAAATGAGTATCCCAAGAAAACAGGGACTTCTGTCAGCTAGCAGATAGTGAAAAGGTTAAAGTTACAATCGTGTATCCAGTCTTTTTTAGTAACTGGATTATAAAGTAAAATCCAGTGTAAGTCCGTCTTATCGAAAGGCTTAATAAGGTAATATTGAAATGGTTGTGCAGACCTAGATATTAGGCTCATTTACAAATACGCATGAATCTTGTCAATCAATACATGAAGCTATACGTATGACCAAAGGGGTCTCATTTGTTATCAGCAGCATAATTGCAGGGTAACAGGGAAAGTGTCAAATTTGCAATGCAAAGCATTCTGTCAGATACATGTAGTAATCCTTAAATGAGTTGACCAGATGTCCAAGACATGTAAACTAATACGTTTTACATCCCATTGAGTACTTCCAATTAAAATATGCCCGCCAATGTATTTTAACTCTACAACAGAAGTTGCCGCACTTGGTTGTCTTAAACATTTTTTCTTTTCTTTAGGCTTTATAAACAAAAGTAATAGAAGTTATCAGTAACACACATGATTGTGATTTATTGGGTGTGTTGGATGTGTCCTCATTGTTATTTATATGTGGTGATGTCTTGGAATGACAATAATTGTGGCATAAAATAGTGCATTGATTTTATTGATCCTGAATTCACATATGCAGTACATGTCGGTTAAATGCTAACACATTTTCCATAATGGAAGCAATCTTAATGTAGCAACGGGGCTTTTTTAGTGCAATGAGCAGTGATATGCAGGAAATGGTCACATTGCACCAAAACAGCTGCACTTTAGGCAAATTAATGCAATTTTGCGTATATTTATTAAAATAACATTAAATATTTTTAATGCAACAAATACCTACATTTTACTTGTTATCTTCTGTACAGCGCCACTCAGCCTGGGGGAAGTAGGGGCAGTACTAGAAGCTAGGCATGAGTGAAATTGCTTGTTTATTTATTTATTCTGTTATTTGATGTTTAATATATAACAATACAATGTTCCTACTGTCCACTTCATTCGTAAATAAGTGTATTCAATATATTGTATACTTCTGACTCAGAATCTAATCTTTTTTATGAATGGGCGTAAATAAACACCTTGTGCATTCATTAGATTGTGAGTGAGAAGGTGAGTTGATGACACCATTAGTGTACACACTTTACCCACAGTACTTTATAAATGGCCATGTTTACAAATACATTCAAGCTGCTGCAGCAAGGGGGACTGAGAAAGCTTTGTCAACTAAATACTTGCTCCGTGATTGACTCAGGGGGACATTCTTATTGTCTTGAGATGGGGACTGATTTTTTTAAAGCTATCCTCTTGTTAAGGCGCGGAGCAGGTGCAGAGCAGAGCAGTTGCAGACCGGATCAAAACTGCGTCCAATGTAGTCCATTGGTATTTTTTGCTCCAGTTCACATCGCAGCGTGCGGTTCCAGAGCAGGTGAAAAAAATGCAGCAAGCCCAATTTTACCTGCTCTGGAACGCATGCAAATGCATCAAAAACGCATGCAAATGCCTGGAACGCACTGAAAGCCCATGTTAAACTAAAAATGTTTTATACAAAAATGGCCCGGAACGCATCAAAAATGCAGCAAAAAATGCAGCAAAAACGCGGCACAACCCACTGCACTGCGTGTTAGGGGTTAGGTGGGGCAACTGGTGGAAAGTAATTTTTAAGGCCTGGCTAGTAGCTCAGGACTTGAAATTTTGAGCCCTGGTGTATAGCATTCAATATTTTTCTATGTTCTTCTCCATGCCAGCTACAGTTAATGTAAAAATACAACATAGCATAAAACAAGCAGTGTGCAAACAGACCCAAGTGATAGCAACTAACATAACTCACCTTTTGATACTCTTAGTGGTCTAAACCTGTTATTCATATAGTAAAATCAGGTGTCATGCTTTACATTTAAAACTTCACAGATTTGTATGACAAATTTAAATTTCAAGACCCACAATATTTTTTCTTAATAAATATATTATGTTCATAGTTTTAAATATATAATACTCTTATATGTATGTATATAGGGTCCTGCCTGAGGTTACAATTAAAGCAGACCTTTATCTGTTTTTACTTAAAATCACACCAGCTAGCAATCTGCCCTTAGTTAAAATGGCCAGTATCAGAACACTGGTAAAGAAAAGAGAAATAAGGTATGCAAAAAATACAAAGCCTGCAATTATCTAGTAATTGTCTACTGTATGTTTGAAGATTGTCATTGCTAAACATTTGTAAAGGTGCCTTTGTTGTTATTTTAAAGATATGGGCAGTAGACATGTGCACTGCCAAAAAATTCGTTTCGTTTTAAATTCGGATTTGTGTTATTTCGTTTTTCGGGATTCGGGTGTGAAAGTCAATTCGGATTCGGAATTCGGATTCGGACGAAATTCGGTAGCGGTAGTTCGAACGTTCGTTTCGTTTTCTGTTCTTATTCGTTTCTTATTCGTTTCTAATTCGTTTCGTTCGTTCGTTTGCAGCAAAATGACATTTGAGGGGGAAAAAATATTTTTCTCCTTCTCTAATGTCACTTTGCTCCAACGAATAAGAAACGAATAAGAAACGAATAAGAACAGAATACGAAACGAACGTTCGAACTACCGCTACCGAATTTCGGAAATGAAAATTCGGATTCGTTTGCATTCGTTATGTCTATAATTCGGAATTCGGATACATCCGAATGTCCGAATTTCCGGAAATTCGTCCGAATTTCGATTCGGAACGAAACGAATCGCACATGTCTAATGGGCAGAGGTCGGCTTTAACATCTGTTATTTAGTGTCAAAAAGTAATACTATTTAAGTGAGCTTGTCTTGAAGTGGAGCATTTAGTACAATCAGACAATATACTACAAACACAGAGTCAACAGATATTTAGCTCAACATTGCACTGTTTTCTACTGCACGTAACTTGTTTTATAGTTACTCACACTGGAGGAACTACCAGGGTCGCAGCGGTCGCACTTGTGACAGGGACCAGGTGTTCCGCCAGTTCGGGGGGGGGCAGAGAGAAGGGGAGGCCCGCTGCTCGCAGCTACTCATGCTGCCCACGGCGCCGCCGCCACCGTCTTCACCGCTGCCGCCCGCAGTGTCTTTTGCTGCAGCTGTCAATAGAACATGTAGCGCTGCAGGGGTGTGGCCTGTCAAGGGGTGACGCCTGTCAGGGAACTCTAATTCCCAGCAGGCAACTGAGGAGGGAGCAGCCGAGCAGGCCTGGCGGGATACACGCCACGCTGTAGAACATCCTGGCTTGAGCTGGACCCTGGAGGCACAGAGGTCGGGAGCACAGCTCACAGCACATAGTGAGGAGATCAGGAGGAGAGCTGCAGCAGATCCAGGTAGGCACTGATTGTTCATTGCTGTATATGTGCTGAGTAGTGACAGTGTCTTGCACTGTAATTTTTTTTCCAACCAAAAATAATAAAATCATTTTATTATTTTTGATTGGAAAAAAAATTACAGTGCAAGACAATGACACTACTCTGCACATTGCCTGCTGGGAATTGGAGTTC